TTTCAACGATGTAGAGTGTGTCTTTAGTCTTCTCAAATAGTCTACATTTTTTTAGATTAAATACACCTTAGTTAGTAATCTTTATAAATTACAGTGGAATTCTATGGTATTAATGTAGTAATTTATGATTTTTAGTTATTCAAATGTATATATAAAACCTCAAAAAAATGTTTCATATCCTCCATGTGCAATTTTTTTAAAGACTTAGCAACCTACATCATGCAGCAACAGAGTACAAAGGTAGTAACTAGAAGAGATAATTGTTTGCTTTACTCCTTTAGTTGCTGTTCTACAAAAATAAGTTTAAGAACTTATTTCAAAATAACAATAATCTATATACACATATAATGTATAATAATTGAAATGTGATTGTATTTTACAAAATACTAGTCTACTGAAACACCACCAAGACAAGTTACTTTGTACAGACCAAAGGTCAATTTTATGTTACTTGATATGGAAACACGAGTGCATATGAGCTGCGTCATTGTAACTTCTATATTGTTAGTCAGGCACGGCTGAAAGGTCAATATAATAATAAAGATATATAAATGTATAATGTTATGAGATTTAAGCTATTTAGCCTAAACATTTATGTTTTTGTGTTATAATTTGTGATCATTCTAGAATGAAAGAGGCATAATTTGTATTTATTTCCAAATATTTTATGGTGGTTGTGAGATTGATCAAATCTACCGAACCTATACAGAGATTAATTACTGAAAATAACAGAAAAAATATAAATTTTTTTTATGATACATTTGATAACTATCATGTCTATATATAAATTTTGCATGTGAAATTTCAAAATTGTCTGATGTATAAAAGTATTTTTAATCTTAAAATGAATATTAATTTGCATGATAGATAGGCAAGATGTGAAAAAGAAAAAAAAAAGACATCAGTAAAATATTACTTTACAAAACTTAAGACTTCATAAAAAAAAATTATATTTTGCATATGAAAGCATTGTAATGTTTACAGATAAACTGCCAAATTTTGTTAACAT